CATTTTGCAACGGCTGTGCGAAAAGTCATCGAATCGCTGCAATCCGAAGTGGGAAGCATGTTGTGGACGTTTGGAATAGTCTCATTGACAGCTTGTAGATCTAAGCTGTGCTCTTATCCGAAGGTAAGGGAGGCAAAAACATTTTGGTGACTTTCAATGATTTTATTGGTTTCAGGTGTGCTCCATGATCGCACAACATGAGAATTTCTCGAAGTTTCCACCAGGATTGAAGGAATATGTTTTGGCTGGCTTGAAAGGTGAACTTCCAGTACAAAATATCGCAATGCCACCGATGGACACAACTGGACGATCCACTCCACCGCTTAGCTGGACACCCACACAAAGATCGTCGAGTACAGAGAGTGCAAAGGTACGATAGGTCCCATCTGGAATCTTTCTATGTGAGTATAAATGTTTAAGGCAACAACGAGCAGTACCAGTGTGGGAAGCACTAATCGAACTGTAAGTTCTATTATTTCAAATTTGAGGCTTTTTTGTATCTTTTCAACCTCGTAGTAAAATTATTGAGTTTTGGGTGTAGTACAGCCCTCTCCTCATACATATGGTATCTCTAACATCTTGCTCACCATTCGATAAATTTTGAATTAAACAATCTTTTAGCTCGCTTTTGACCACTCCAGCGTTCTTGGAATGGTTTACACAGTTTCATTTATTGCCTGTGAATATTGCTAAAATGCTGAATTACAGGGGAATTCTGTGTTGTCCTACACCAACGTAGACACACTCGTATCTGCCACAGAAAAGGAAGGAGCAGAAGTTGCACAACCGGAAACAGCTGTAGTCGACAAAGTGTTGTTCCTCTTCAACAACCTATCCCAGAGTAACATGAATACCAAAAAGGACGAGGTGGGATCTCTTTGAGATTCGAAGAAGCCTGTTCTAGGCATTTTCGCACTCATTACGGTATGCTACCATGATTTGGGACGCTTTGAAATACAAAAGTAACATTTTTGACTCACATGGCGTCCTTCAACCCATTTCCGCAGATAGAAGTGAGCTTAGCTAGTTTATCTTCCTTTATAATGCATAGTTGGTTGGCGATGTTGTTTTACATTACGCGCGTACGGTGATATACCGTAAAGGTGCAAAAGTGCCTCCAAACACTTCTACCAGGGGAGAGATTTTCTTATTTTGTGTTTTGCAGATACTAGCATTGATCGAAGAAAATGGCGAACCATTCATCCGATGGTTTGCGCAGTATATAGTGATGAAGCGGGTTTCAATAGAACAGAATTTCCTGCCTCTCTACAATCAATTTGTCCAAGCTATAAATCATCCGTTATTGGATACACATATCAAGAGAGAGACGTTCAGGAATATTAGGGTGAGAAATACTACTTATGATTTGTTTGTTTTTGTCTTGAGACTAAAGAATTTGATTTGTAGATTTTGCTGCGATCGGATAAACGGCAAGCTGCTTCTAACTACAGTGACCGTCAACTGCTCAAAAATCTAGGCATGTGGCTAGGATCTATCACGATAGCCCGAAATAAGCCAATCCTTATTAGTGTAAGTTTGTCTACCAAAAAGGTTCCAGTCATATTTATTGTGGAAAAGTCAATCTCTGCTATTTAGGAGCTTGACTTGAAAGCTTTGCTTATGGAAGCATACTACAAAGGGCAACAAGAACTGCTGTTTGTCGTACCATTCATCGCAAAAATCCTGTTCTCATGCTGCAAAACACAGGTTTGTAGACATTCCAGCATTTTTGCCTGGGTTTGTCACTTCTTTCACATCACCAGTACCCGATAGTAGTTTATTTTGATTGGTTGTAGCTCTATGTCCAGCAAGTTAGTTTTTTGTTGCGCACGACTCAACGAACTATTAGAAGTAGACGGCTTCCCTCACTTTATTAATATAGCTGTCACTTCCAATGTGCCTTGTTTCAATCTTTCCAAGCACTATTGATTCTTCGAATAAATGCGAAGAGGCTAGACTCGGCGAATGAGTCAGAGGCAGTAGAACTGGTTTCGCGTTAGCATTTGCAAATTTGTGTTGGAGTTGCTACTTTTGTGATTTGTGACTGTAAATTTTATCTTGTAAATTCTTCCTATTTGAGAGCTGCAATGTGCGCAATATTATGGGTAAATGTAGATATTTATATCAAAAATCGTCACTTAGTAAAAGATGATTTTTGCCTGTTTTTGAAGGTTTCCTGTGTGAAGCAATATGGTATTTTTT